ACACATAGGCACGTACCCAAACACACACCAGCTTCTATGCAAGATGCTTTCCACCAAAAACCTACCCTGCTCTTGCTTCCCCACAATAAACAGCCCTGGGGGCGGGTGTGAAAATGTTTCCAGGAATAGCAGCCAAAGACAGAAATGTGCCATGAAAATTTCACATGTGGACAGTCGGTGCGTGGCTGAACAGGGACTCGGAGCGCAGGGAGGCCAGAAGGGAGCAGGGTTGGCAAAGTTGGACATGAAATCATCATTTTGAGAGATTCCCTATTGCTCCCTCCGCATCAGCCTGCCACAGTTCCAAATGCCAGGTATGTCGTGTGGACCGGCTGGGACAGAAACAAAATGTCACTTGCCACTTAAGCGGCAGCTGCATTTTAATCAGGCCGCTAATAATACGAAAGAGACATCTCAAGATTGTCCTTTCTTCCCACTTCCGCCTGCCATCTACAGCAGGGCTTGGGCGGGGAGCGGGGTATCTCGGTTTGAGGAGGGGATAAAAAGTTAGGGTTCAAGACCATTGGCACAGAGACCCCCCACTCCCCATCCCTTTGACTTCTTGTCTGCTTAATTAAACTCACAGCACTCCAGTCCCCCTCTTCCTTTACAATTTGACAGATAGCGGAGAAAATTAATGGCTGGAGAGGGAATTAAATTGATCCTTCTTCTCACTGCGGCTGGGTGACAAATCTACAGATAGATTCCAGAGTTGTCTGTCTGCGATGTTAAGAGACCACTGCAGCCACCGCCAGACAAGGTGGCTGGGAGTGAAATGATCCAGTGCCCCTAGAGGGGAAGACCCCCCAAACCTTACTTTGTCACTGCTTTTTCACGCATATCCAGGGCCCCCTTTTCATTTCTCCAGGAGTGCTGGTGTAAATGTAGTTAATGCAAGCTTCCGTCTGAACAAAAGGGGATGCAATGTACAGCTGACTCAAGCAATGTTTTTCATTTACTTTTTTTTTTAATCCACAACTATAAATTTTTTAAATGTACCACAGAAAAGATATGAGCTTTATTGGATGGACTAAAATCATTTGATTTCAGGGAAATGGGGTCATCCAGCTCTCTTTGGGAGACTCCCAAGCAGGGCATGTAATTAATCACACGTGCAATGCACACACACACACACACACACACACACACACACACACACACAAGTAATAAGTAGCTATCACAACTATGAGCCATAGTAATTTATTTTTTATTTATTAGATTTTTCCCACTTTTATTATTTTATACGTATCACAAGGCAGTGAACACACATAATACACCTTCTTCCTTCTCCCCGCCAAAATAAAAAACCCTGTGAGATTAATTGTGCTGAGATGGACTGGCCCAAAATCACCCAATTGGCTTTCATGCCTAAGGTTGGACTAGAATTCACCGTCGCCTGGTTTCTAGACCTTAACCATTAGGTCAAACTGGCTCTCTGTAAATAAATACAGTAAATAGTTATGCTCCATAAATGGATCGAAACCTCTTTGTCTAAGTGGGCAGCCTTAATTCTGCCTTGTGGAACTAAGTGTCATTATTTGAGTGTGTGCAGTGTGAAGTCATTCTTTTATCACTTTGCAGTTCTTACTTTTTAAAAAATGTCCAACTATACAAAAATAGCATGCTGCTTCCTTAGAAATAAGGACTTTCAGCCAAGCAGTACTTTAACTTCTGTTGATTCAGTCTGTTGGAGGAAAAGTTGATTTGGCCACAGAAACAAATATACATGCACGGACTTGTTCCAGAAATGAGCTGAAGAATTTTCTAGGGGATGTAATGATACAAAGAGTCATATCATTAAACTCACACGCCCATATATACAAAATATTGCTGACATCCACACACATAAAAATCTTAATATAAAATAAAAAACTTGACCCCCCCAAAAATGTCATGCCCCTGTCGGAGTCTGAATCTGAGGAGGAAGACGAACAGCTGACAGGGAGCGGGAGTGTGGCTCCGTTGACTGTGGAGAAAGCTGGGGAAGGCAGTCAGGCTGGGCAGAGCAGGGGAGAGGTAGTTCAGAGGAGGACCCAGGCCCACCCCCTCTCATCCTAGGGCACGCAGGGAGGAATGGAGAAGAGAGCAACATGGGTTCTGTGGCTTATGGGGGAGGAAAGGGCCCTGATTCCCTTTATTAGGCACACTTAGGAAGAGAGTTTAAAAGTGTTGCAAGCTGAGAGCAGCGTCTGCTGGGAACAAACATGAGTTTATCTTGTGTTCACTGTGGTTATCTGCGTTCCTGGAATCCTCCTAACCGGGTTGATTTACTGCCATTCCTTCACTCTGGAACTCCTTCTCTTGCCCTGCCAGATTAATTACCTCATCTTGCCTTGATTGGACTTATAATTAAAGTTTTTATTGACAATGTTTTGGACTTGAATCTCCTCAGCCTCAGGCTGTTCCTGGGATAGTTTTTTCTCCAGACTAGAAGGTAACCAGGACATTGGGGGCAAAATTGGAGCTAATAAAGGGACTCTTATTATTTGACTGCATTATTTGACTGTATTGCCTGACACACTCCAGGTCATCACAAAATATCTCAATTTCCAAGGTTTGTTTATTCAGATCTTTGTATTCTGAGATGAATTTCATGTCCAGTTATTCTAGGCCAGTGTTTCTCAACCTTGGTAGTTTTAAGATGTGTGGACTTCAACTCCCAGAATTCCCTAGCCAACCATGCTAGCTAAAGAATTCTGGGAGTTGAAATCCACACATCTTCAAGCTATTAAGGTTGAGAAACACTGCCTAAATAGCAGGTCCCATGATTGTCTTAGTAGGGATTGTGGGTATCACAACCCAGTCATATGTTCTCTAATGAGTTGATTGGTGTATACAGATTGATTTATATTACTTTTTTTAGAAGTGATTTAAAACTTCATCTCATTAATGCTTTGTTAATTGTCTAAAAAAGGAACCCTCAGTGAAAACAAACTATCGTGGGAGCCCCCAATGTTCATTGATACATAAAACATATCTGCCTATTTTATATATCCATTATTAGTTTTTGTAATAATTATTATTAGATTTTTATCCCCCCAATATTACTTTATAAGTAACTTTTAAGGTGGCAAACATGCATACTAATACCGCTTCCCCCTCCTATTTTCCCCACAACAAACCTGTGAGGTAGATTGAGCTAAGAGAGAAGGATTAGGCTCATGTCACCCAGCTGGCTTTTATACCTAAGTTGGGACTAGAACTCACAACTTCCTGGTGATTGGCACAAAGTCACTCAGATGGCTTTCTTGTCTAAAGTAAGACGAGACCTGGTGATTGACCCAAAGTTACCCAGCTCGGTTTCATGCCTAAACCAGAACTCTCCTAGTTTCTAGATCTACATCATACTGAGGACAAGGACTTTGCTCAACTATTGTAAAGTTTGGAAGGTTTGGGGCATATTGCCCACTTATTTCAGAACCCAGGCCTAAGAGCAAATTCAAAGGTTGGGCTCTAATTAAGCCTTACTTATCTACCAACTTGAGGGGGTAGATTCCAGTCCACCCTGCCAGGCCCAAGGCAGGTTTATATGTTTGACTAACACTCAAAATGTCATTCAATAGCATATGCAGCATCACAAACATTTCCTGGTTTGGAGTAGGTCCAGGACAATGTTGCCATAGTAACCGGAGGAAGGAGGGGGGGCGAGCGGAAAAACTTCAATGCCCCACACTCAAGGGAAGTGATGATACTGTGCAGCTTCAAATGTTTTTGTTTTGATTCTGGAAATTCTCCTTCATAGCGAACGGAAGAAATAACAGCCAGCAGGGAGCAATTATGACCCTTTATGACTGGGGAACCCTAGTTGGAGCCTTAAGGAAATGTTGCAGAAGAGTTGTCGACCCCATCATATATGGAGTTTATGCTAACTCCTGGAAAGCCACTTATTGGAATAGAAAAAGGGTTTCTTGGGCTCAGTTAAGCTCATTGTAAGACTTTTCTGACCATCTTTAAACCTGACATCTCTTTTTAAAAATCTTGTTTAATTACAGTGCCAAACACATTAGAAACAGGAAGAACTTGTACCCACATAGCATTTCTAGATAAACCTACACTCCAGCAGAAGTAAAAAATAATAATTTCCTGTTGTAAGAAACCAAGCGATTTACTTTTAATCAGTTCTGCCCAAGTCATCCTCTCTCTCTCTCTCTCTCTCTCTCTCTCCTCTTACACATACACACATACATACACACTTTCTAGTATCTGCACATTTCCACACACACTTATTTCCCCCTACAGACCTCTTTGGAAATACCCTTCATCTCTTTTCATCTATAGCATGTTCCAGTCTATTTTCCTCTTTTTTTTCAAAACCTCCTTATTAACAATATCACCTTATATAATCTGTATAATACAATTGTTATATTATGTAACTTCATAATCATAGAAATGCATTCTATTCTACTCTACTCTATTCTACTCTATTCCCTTATTCTGCCCTGTATTATCCCTTGCACTTATGGATATGCCTTCAACCATGTTTTGAGAGTAGCTTTTTTTTTTTTTTTGCACCCACCTTAAGCCCAAGGGATATGACAGAAGTATTTAATAATTCATTGTTCTTTATACTCTCATCTTTCTCATGCTCTCTTTAGGAGAAAGAATGAGCAAAGCTTAAAATATATACCTCTCTCTGTCCAATTAAAACTGCAGAGGAGAAATTTTTTTATCATTATTCCCCCAAGGCACACATGCACACACCTAAATCTCGCCTCAATCTTGGTAGTTGATTTACTCATGCTAGCCTCGGATTACTTCTCTCTCACGCCCTCTCTCTTTTCTTTTCTTTTTCTTTTTCTTTTTTGCTACGGCTGAGTACACACACAAAGTCTAATAGTTCCGCCTATTATCCTCTAATCTAATCTATGTATTCCATATCAGATCTCTGCACCGTCCCCCTCCCATTCTCAATAGAAACAATAGTCTCCACCTCTCGACTGCAACCCCCCTTCCCTTGTGCGCTCTTTCTCTCTCTCTCTCTCTCCTCTCTCTCTCTCTTTCTCTCGCTCGTTCTCTCGAAGTCCGTGGGATCCCCAATCGATCCCCTCCGCTCCGCTCATTCCTTGCATCGTCTTCTCCTCACTGGAACCTGTTGACAGGATCTGCATCCAGGTAAGAGAGAGGGGGGACGGGGGGGGGGAGTCCCGTGGGACCGAGTGGGAGAAGGGGGTGAGTGTGCAGCCTTTGGAGGAAAAGGGGGGGGGGTGCGTGAAGATAGTTGCGGGGTGCAACTTGAGGAGAGACAAAAATGTGGGGGTCACAATCTGGCAGAGTTTCCAAAAAGGCAGAGACTTGGCAGAGTTGTTCGGCGGGTGATATTCGGGAGATGGGGGAAAGGCTGAGACAAGTTGTGGGAGGCTGCTATGGGGCCGAAAAGGGAATTTGGGGGGCAGTGGCAAGAATGTGGAGGTGAATGGAGTGAAGATAGGAGGATATTAGGATAGAAAGCAATCCAAACCTGCTTTTTTAAAGAATAAGAGGCATCTGTGGTGTAATCTGGGAAAGAGGAGGACATCAGTTGTACAGATGTGGGATATTCAGGGGAAAAGTTGGGGTGCAATCAAGGGTGTCAAGATTCAGAGATGGCTAAATTGATTCCTGTGATGGGAATCAATGCGGAGGGCAATTCTGGGAAGCTATGAAACTGATTGAGAACTGGTGGACTGAAGCATGGTTGGTTCAAGAAAATACCTTCATGCAGACCTCTCTTCCCTTCCCCCTCCCTCTATTTTTTTTTTAAAAAAAACACCATTTCAATTCAGCAAATTCATCCTGTGACTATTGTTTAAGAAAACTAATTCACGTAAAATAAGCCTCAGGCCAATACTAATTTCAAAATATACTGCTCTATTAAAATGTCATTAAGTGTCCAACAGAGAGAAATTCCTAATTCACTTATAATCATCTCACCATCGCTAAAAATTGGGGAGGGGGAGGAAGAGAGAGGCCAGTGCTGCAAAACATGTTTTAATTGGAGTTTGAAATTTTGTTGACTGACATTCCATTTCTCATGTTGCATTGATCTAACAAACCTTTGATTTCATGCCTGTTTTGCCCTTTTTCTTCTTGTTTTTATTTAAATGCAGCTATCTCTACTCAGAAATAAACCTCACCTCAGTGAATTCAGTGCAACTTGATTCCTATAAAGTGGCTAGACCACTGCAGTCTTGTAGCGCACCAGGCTATTTCAAACAATACAGTTCGGATGTTTATGATTTTTTTTAAAAAAAAAATCTGTCGTCAGTTTTGTTCACTGCAACAACATCCTAACTTTTTTCACCTGCTTGCCACAAAGGAAATGGGAACCATGATTTTGAAAAGAATGGGTTTGACAGTATTAACAATATTTCAGCAGCAATATCTGTTGAAATATTTTCTGTTAGGAGAAAGAGTGTCAGAATTGCCAAAGAGATCAAAAGGAAATCTATAAAATAATCATTCATTTCATTCACCCAAACAGGGAAAGTTTCTGCAAATTTCGAAACAGCCAGAAAAGGGTCCCCAGCCCAAATTTTAGGAAGTCAGGAAGTGACTCACAGAATGGACCAGGAGAAACTGGGGTGGGGAGAAATAAATGTTTGAAAAACCATGGAGTTTGGTTCAGAAAAATATAAGCAAAAAAAGTAAAGGATTTGGGTCCCTTCCATACAAGAAACAGCAAATGAGTGTAGTAATGTTATGTAAAACATAAAAAGATAAGTGGAGATAGAATCACTAGGTTAATCTCCTCATTTATTCAATTTTTTTTAATGTAACATTTCCTACATGCATTAATGTATTAGCTTTTTCCTATAGATAAAGGTCTGTAGATTTTAGATTTACATTTGCAATAGAAAAAATAAAAACATCTTATTTTCCCAAAGTCATCATTCAGAATAGAAAAATGAAGGTGCTTTTTTAATGTGACTTATGACATCTACTGATGGAATTGACTGATACAGAATGTAGTAGTGACTTGGGGCATATATAGGAATACAGCAATGTTGTGGAGATAACACACTTTTGAGGAGAACCATAGACTTCTTCTTTGGTAGTAAATTTAAGTGATGAGTTACTGAGAGGACTCCAGCTAAAGTAAGTTACTAAGGACTAAATGCAATCTGTTAGTAGACTGGGAAGAATCCTAAAATGTTGAAACACAAAACAAGGGAAATGAACAAGCACAAGCATGCTTAAAAATATTGCAATGAGTCTGGACAGCTCTTTAGGAAGCCCACAATTCTACCAAATGAATTCTCAGTCATCATGTGAACTCTGTATACTGTACCATGCCTTACCAGCCATTTTCTGCAGCACATCTGTTTCTGAATACAAGGGGTTCTCATCACATAGTCAACATAGAGTAAATAGCCTTAGGCTGTTAGGCTGTTTGACACAGCCAGTTTCCTATGGTTTAGCCCATGTTTCTCAACCTTGGCTGTTTTCACATGTGTGGACTTCAACTCCCAGAATTCCACAGCCAGTTGAAGTCCAAACATCTGAAAAGAGCTAAGGTTGAGAAACCCAGTCTAACATCAAGGTTATCATGATTAAGAGAGGTGCATTTCTTACCTGGAAAGTATCAATTTTTCCTGCCAGAGTTTTTTTTCCTGAAACCTACCTGAGATACCCTATAAAAAAATAACGAAATGTTAATCTCAAAGTTTAAACATTGGTTATTTCTCCTGTGACACGGTAATAGATATTTCTTGTCTACTACAAATTATAGTTCACCATCACAAACAGAAATACTTGCTCATACAAGGGAATTTTTTTTGTTTCCTTTAAAAATAATGCCTAATTGGATTTCTCAATTCTTCTGACAACAAAGAAATCTTTGCCTTGCCTTTTGCCTCCCTGCAAAGTAGCAAATTTGACCTGCCAATCATTCTAGTTTAGAGGGAGAATTAATCATATTTATTTGGTCAATGACAAGCAAAATTTAAAAGTACAAAAACCAGTGTGAAGCAAATGAATGCAATAATATACTAACAAGTAGCAAAATAAATCAACGTAGTATAATATTCACTCCTCTATTACTATGTTAATACAGTTCTTACCTAGATGATAAATCTAAAACATCAATATGTACAAAATAAAAATAAAAACTATATATCCCCTAACCATTCATCAAACAACCAGCTACTTTGGTTTAGTGATTAAGGTTCTAGACTAGAAAGTGGGAGATCATGAGTTCAAGTTCTGTTTTAGCCATGAAGCCAGTGGAGCAATTTTGGGCCAGTCCTTCTCAGCCCAATCAACATCACAGGGTTGTTGTTGAGGGGAAAATAGGAAGAGGAAGGTGTGTTAGATATGTTTGCCACATTGAATTATTTGTAAAAATAATAAAGGCAGAATGTAAATAAACCAATATCAAGACGTATCAAACCTGAAGTATTACTTAAAACAAAGATAATTCTGTCTTTAGCTAATTATATCTTGCTTTCATTGCAGCAACATAAAATTTAACTGCTTCCCAAGTAACGAATGGTCTTAAATCTTGAAGGAGAAGGTTCATGTAAAATTTATCTGGTCTTGCTGGGAATTTACGAATTAGGAGTACAGGGTAGATTGACCTGATGCCTCTATAAAATTTATAACATAATAAGGACTCTGTGAGGGAAATAGGCAACTTAAAAATGTGATAGGTGAGAGAGAAATGAGAGAGAGAGACAGGGAGAGAAAAGGAGAGAAAGAATGTGTGAGATTATTTCAACTTCTTTGTCACCACATGGGCAAATCTTTAAAAGTTTACATACAGTAACCAAAACATTAGGCTGCATTTTAAAGTTTCCCATTTCTGGAGATGTTTGATGCCACTTATTAAGAACATACCAGACACGTATTTCCTTGAGAATCAAGCCCAGTGGGTTTTATTCAAGCAAATTTGCCTAAGGCAGCTTTGCATACCAACATACAACTGAGTGTAGAAATAAAAGATGAAAATTAATGAGTGAATTTTTCTCCCCTTTCAGCACAGCCGACTGCTCCTCCAATGACTGTCCGCCGTGGAGATCGTGCACCGGTTCCTATCCGAGAGCACATGGCCATCGATGTATCCCCAGGACCGATACGACCCATTGCCCAAATTTCAGCTTACTTTCCTCATCCTGGGTTGGAAGGGGTGCTGACGACACAAGATAAGATAAGGGGTGAAGGAACAACTGTACCCGCAGGAACTGGGGAAGGAGAATCTACTGAAGGATATGATTCTGATGAGAACAGTAAGTATAATTCCCCTGTCTGTAGAGAAGACATGAGTTTTGATCAAACTATCTTTTAATCCAAAAGAAAACAGCTGGCTACATCGCACATTCCATGCAGATTCCCTTTCATTGACTGTCACTTCACATATCAACTTCTTCTCTTCCTATATTTTAAGATAGAGACTACTTCAACGCAAATCCCACATATAGATGCTTGACAGCTGGCAGTTGGATTTGTACATTGTTCTACATGCCATACAATATGTTTGTTTGATTTTGACTTAGCAGAATGTGTGAACTAACTCACTAATGGTTTGTTCAACTAATGTAATCACAACCATTGTGGTTTGCCAGCCAAGGTTTATGACTTAGCAAGATGTATGATCTAAGTCACTATAGTTTGTTTAATAATTCAAACAAGTCAAAGAACGATGTGCAAATAGAACCAGCAGGTCTGCCTCATATTACTCTCATCTACTCAGTCATATTTAGATTTTTTTTTCCTCACACACTTACAAAGGCATATTAAAGTTTTGTGAATGCCCATCCAGAGGCTCATCCTTCACTTTAGTGTCAATGTCTAACCAGGCTGACATCCATATTCTCTCAAATGCTGTCTTATGCAAACAATATGTTTGTCGTAAACAAGTCTGTCTTACAAAACAGTTCTCAAAAATATGGACAATTGAATCTTCACTGATTGATTAGGTGCCATTGACTCAGCAGTAGTTCCTGTCACAGCGGAAAAAATGTTCATCGTCTCAACTTGTCTCTAACAGAAACTCATAATTCTTCAAGGAATATTCACTGGAGGTTTTTAAGAGGAGATTGGATAGCCATTTGCCTGGAATGGCATAGAGCAGGGTCAAACTTGGCAACTTTAAGACTTCCAACTCCCAGCATTCCCCAGCCAGCTGTGCTTGGAGACCCCTGGTATAGGATCAGCCAGGGGGTTGGATTAGAAGACTTCCAAAGTCCCTTCCAACTCTGTTATTCTGTATCCGTATATCCTTGTTCCCACCTCCAACCATCATTTCTATCGTTTTCCCCTTCTTTCTTTCTCAATCCTATCTGGAATACTTTATCTAAATCCACCATCACTTACATGACCTGCCCAAAGTGAGATTTTGGTCTTCTAAAGAGGTACATTTCTCAGGTGCACCTCCTTCAAAACATTCATCCACATACACTGTTCACTTAAAAGTGGTGTTTGTTTGAGCATTTGTCACATTTATAGCCAATATTCTGAGGAGAGTTTTGTGATCAAGTCTGTCATCGTGACATTTAAGTGTAACTATCATATTGTTCTGAATCTTTCTCATTCTGTCATATATGCTATAAAATGTCCTTTACAACATCACCTCTCCCCTATCCTTTGCACACTGATTTGGAAATAAAGTCTAGTGAATCTCCTGAGGTTTTAGGTTGAGTGAATGTAGGTGAGAACTAGGAAATAAAATCCCATTTTTGCCCTGAGGCAGTAGTACTTAATTTTAAATAGCCACACTCAGTGCACAATAAAATAATATTATGCACTCTGGCCATAGTAAAAGGTAAACTTAAACAGTCTGCAGGACATGATTTGGTAATTCCTCTTCTCTAAAGGACAAGCAGAATGGAGAAGGTTGCACTTTTGAGCAAACTTACTTAGAAGATCATGTATGTATGTATGTATGTATGTATGTATATGTATAATATATATGATTTATATATGATTTATTTCCCCGCCGCCGCCAAATCAAGCTCTATTTAGTATCCAGAAGATTTAAGAGACTCCGGTAACTGGGTTCACATCTGGAGGGACACATGAAAGCAACTTGTCTCAACTATCTGGTCACTTTTTGGACCCAGAATTTGAAACAGGCACATGCACAAATTCATGCTTATCTTTCTCATAATTAATTCTTGTATGGCCAAGTTCTCCAATATTTGTTTATACTTTTACTTATAATTTACATTTACTTATAATCTACTGTGATTAAACAGTCTCTAGATTGTCAGACCCAAAATCAAAAATGATACATAGCAATCCTTTCAAATGGAAGTGTTTATAGTTTCACCTCTAGACAAAATCTTGTCAGACTGAGGACTCTGCATCTACAGTATACGCTGTGAAGCATTAGGGAGAGGCTGTCTTCACCCTCTTTCTCTCACACTTGGCATCTGGGCTGAGCTGCCTCTTACTCCTCTAGCATGCACCCCCTCCCTCCTGGACACCCACCTCCTCACTGCATTAGATCACAAAGTAAAGATAAAGGTTCTCCTTGCACATACGTGCTAGTCATTTCCGGCTCTAGGGACGGTGCTCATCTCCATTACAAAGCCGAAGAGCTAGCACTGTCCGAAGACGTCTCTGTGGCCATGTGGCTGTCATGACTAAATGCTGAAGGCGCATGGGATGCTGTTACCTTCCCACCAAAGGTGGTCCCTATTTTTCTACTTGCATTTTTACATGCTTTCGAACTGCTAGGTTGGCAGAAGCTGGGACAACCTCACTCCGTTACACAGTGCTAGGGATTTGAATCGCCAAACTGCCGACCTTTCTGGTCGACAAGCTCAGTGTCTTAGCCACTGAGTTACCATGTCCCTTTTTATTATTCTCCGACTCTGCTACCCATCAGAGCAGAGCTAATTTTAGGCTAAAATTGAGTAGGCACTGACTTAGAGTGCCAAACCTTAGGGAGCAGCAATGCCTCCCTGTCTCCTTCCAAATGAAATGCTAATCTTGCATCACAGCTTTCTTAGTAGAGGGACTAGGCAGTGATACGCAGTCACTCAAGCACAAACCAGTATAGTTGGGGCCTCGAAGGATGTTCCTTGTGGATTTTGGGGTTGGCTTGAGTAGTCGAAATAGTTGAGAGGAACCTCCAAGACTTCATGGGATTATCATTTGCTGCTTGGGAGACAGATGTGGGGAAAGGCTACTTGGGCTACCTGTGAATTTTCCAGAGACTTGTGGTTAGCAAACAGATTCTGAACAAGAATGCAACTAGCAAATCTGGGTTGCAAAAATTTGCCTAATCGCTAGGTGGCAGTAAAAAAATACAGAAATCTCTGTGCTGACCTCTAGTGGTCCTCTGAATCCCTGCAGCCTGGATCTGGTAACTGTAGCTTTCATGCACATGCTGTTCTTCTCACAGAACTTACAATAGGACAAAGTGACCTGCTGCAATTGTCATTGTAGTGGGAGAGAAACAGATGAAGGAAAGAATTGGTCCCTGCACACATTTATTTTTAGGATTAGGAGAAATGCTAGATAGCCATTGGATATCCAAATTTTTTGGAAACATGCCCCAATTCTCACCTTCTAGTGCTTGTGCTTATGCGGAAACAAACATGCACAGGCTTTACCAATTTCAAAGCCTGAAACAGATTTGGTAAACTTAATAAAGCCTGTGCACATTTATTTGTCTCAGCATAAGCACATACCTACTGTTCTTGTGCGGAGAGTTACACGTACTACAATATCAGCCGTCTTCAAAAATGCCATAGCACTGAAAACTCAGGTTATCCGTTTTATCCCTTGGACCTGCATCAGAAGAGCTATTGAAGCCCCACAACCCGTGTTTCTGAGACAACCCATGCATGCAAATGTTCACTCAGGCATCTTCTCTAACAAAAACAACCTCACAACCCCACACCTCTACTGCTAACACAGCCCAGCATAAAAATGGTATCACATTTATATGCTCTCCGACAGGTGTATGTACACACGTACACATACAGACACCAATTCCCATAAGACAGGAGGAAGGGAGGGGAGGAAGGAAGGAAGAAAGATAAGTAAGTGGTTTAATGAATGGTAGGTAAAGGAAGGCAGGGGGGGGAAGGAAGCCGACATAATGTTGTTCCCAATTCAAGGTGTGGCTTGGTAAAATAGGAAGAAATACCAGGTATTGCCTTTAAGCATACATGTTTATTCAGCAGAACAAAGTCCCCTCTAACAGAGAGGAAGCCCTGGACACACAAAGATTCTTGTATTTATACCGTTTTTTTTCACTCCACCCAGCAAGGCTGGCACGTAAGAGATACAGGAATCACCCAGAAAATCTGGCACACAGTAGATAATATATCAAGATGTTCTTAGTACATAGGGAGGTTCTTTAGGGACACCGGGTGGTCCCTGGCATCTCAGGACATTGGGTGTTTTTCTCTGGGGACTTTCCACAGACTTGCAGGTGTCTAGAAATAATGGTGCCATTTGTACATACATGCCTTCCAAGTTCTTCCCAGACTCCAGGTCAACAATAGGAGTGGATACTGTAGATGTATGGATCACGAGAGAGAGACAGAGACAGAGACAGAGACAGAGACGGAGATCTATGTTACCAGACAGAAGCATGCATCAAAACAGAAAGCCATCCAGAAACCCTTACAAATAAATTGTCCCAATGCAAAGAGATACAATCTGATCACAAATGTATAGGGACATGTAAAGTCCTTTTCATGTGGGCTTTAAAACTATGCAGCCTGGCTGAAGGCCAGGGGGGAGTGGGGAGAGAAAGAAAGAATGCATCACGTTTTTTTGCTTCTGATCTCTATGCATCATTCATCAGCAGTTTGTGCATGTTCACCATGCGCTCTGGGATCTGGCTTTTCTCGGGCATCAAAAGGGAGCCTTGCTAGTGCCCAGCTAGCAAGAAATGCCTGGAATTGATGAGTGAGGAGAGGAAGCCCATCCTCTTTCTTCTCTTCCGGTTGAGTTTTACAGAGTCAGGACTAACTGACTCCTTCATATCAATTAACTAAACCATGGTTTGTTGAAAAAAGCTCAAAGGATAGGTGCATACTACCCGCTGAGCCATTAAGTGCCATAAACAGGACACAATGACTCTGCTCACACAACACAGCCAAGTCGGAAAGAATATTGACTTAGTGCATTCGGTGAAGAAGCCCTATTTGTGAAATGGGGCAACAACGATAGGCCAAAGGCTAAGCAAGTAGAAGTGAATTTCCTGCCAAAAATGACAAAACGCAGTCCATGACCCAGGCCAAGAAACCTTTTTACTGTGGCAGACTATTGATCCGTACAATTTATAGATCAATCACAACATCTTGGAACACATAAAGGAGAGAATGCTTTGTTCTTGCCGCTGAGGAACTACAAATAGATCCTACATGGCTCAGATTAAGTCTTCTAGCTTTAAAAGATGGAACTTCTAGAAACGGCTGGGTAGGTTGGATGGATTTATTCGGTTATAAATGTCACCCAAATGTGTAAATATTTTTATGAAGACAGGAACGAGGAAAAGGCTCTAATTCACAAAGGCCAACGAGTTCTCCAGGCCTAGAGAAAAACAGCAGCAGAAGTAAATAGTGGGTCCCCAAGGTATGATCAAAAAGTCAAGATGGCAGAAACAATGATGTGATCATAGCTCTGCCTGGTTTTTAGGTGTGCCAATGCACTTAACAAACAAACAGAGCTTGAATTGCACTGTCACAGCTGCCCTCTTGGTTGCTTTTTAAACAATCCTTGCAGACACCCCTGTGGGTCCTGAATAATTCACAACTGGGCAACTGTCCCAGTGAGAAGACAAAATATCCTAGGAAGTTTAATTTGCAGGGGGGGGAAAGGCAGTGATAATGAAAATAGAATATTTCTTACACTTACTTTTGTGGAGTCCTTGGTGGTCTCTGAGCTTGGTTGTTTGTTTGCAGACATTTCATTAGCCGACTAGGTAACATCATCACTGCAAGGGGATGCAGGGTTTGCTCCCTTTTTAGATACAATAGCTTGCCCTGCAAGTTTTAATAGGGGTGTGGTTTTCTGCTTGATAGTTCCTTAATTAGGGTTTTGTTTTCTGCTTGATTGCTTGTCTTGTCTTGCTTATCTGGTGTTGGCTGCAGGAAAGGGTATATTCTGGACTTTTTGTTTCCTTCCTCTCTTTTGAACGGGGTGTAAATATGTTTTATTTTTATGTGCCTAGTGATGGCTGATTCAGAAACATGCACCATGTTTCTTTGCTTTGTCCCATGGGAAACAGAAGCTCAATTATTATGCATCTTCAAACACGTCTACTAAATTTGTGCAATTAATTCAGGACATCACATTCAGTTTTCCTAGCGTCTAAATTAGATTATCAGAGGGAAAGGGAAGGGGGGCACTTGAGATATTCAAGATGAAAGTGTGCACTCCTATGCATAGTTCATGGACAGAGAACGTTTATATAAAGATGTATAGAATTTGGGGTAGGGCATAATTTTGACGGACAGTGTTGGCCAGCCAGCAACATGAGAGCACTTTCTGGTATTATTTAAACCCACAGTCAGTCTTTGTACAATTGTATGCAAATATGCAAATGCAGAGATATAAACCAGTTCAGAGATGGTTATGCTGGCCAAGCCTGATGGGACTTTTACTCAGTTCATCTGAAGCAAGGTTGGATGGGGAAGATTTGTCTGGATCATGACTGCCTGGGGAATTCTGGAAGTTGAAGTCCACATGTCTTAAAGTTGCCAAGGTTGAAAACACTGGCCTGGACAGATGGATGGAGCTGAGTTTGCAGATTGTGAGTGGGATTAGAAAGACAGCTTGAAGGAAAACGCTGATAAAATGAATCTCTTTTTAACACTTGTTTTCCTTACTGCCTGGCCTTCTTCTAGCATCTCTTGGGACTCTTGAATTTGATATTCTCTATGATCCAGAAAGCTGCACCCTTGACTGCACCATCCTACGAGCCAAGGTAATCATTCTGACATTTGTTCCTTTACCGGTCCTCAAAAACCTCTTCTAAAGCAGCTTCTCTGAATTGGTGGGGTTTGGACAACTGTAGTTTTTTGTTAATGGAGACACAGCCCATACTGGCAACGGGGGAATCGTTCAACACTATTCAACAGTAGACTGTGGAAGGCTGCTGAAAAGACACTGCTTGCTTCTCTAGCACCCTTCATGCCTTTGGATTCAGTCTTTCTGCATCACATGTTGCATTTTCACAATAAACGGCCTTGATTTAATAAAAGAGCCACGCCGGGGGTGGGAAATCTCATTATGGAGCTAGCAATGCTCATTCTAGTCTCTCTTTTCTCCGAACACACTCATCCCCTTCTCTACCCTATCTAGAAAGCCTTTAGAAGTCAGGCAAGGGCCGTTCAAGTGTCAGACCAAATCTCCAGGGTCTTCACCCAGGTGTTTTTCTGCAACTCTGACCCTTAAACTCACATACCAGCAGTACACAACACCCCGTCCTCCCTTTCTTCCTTCCCAGCTGGTGGGCTTGCAGCATCTTCAAGCATCTCGGCGGCGACGCGCCAGGCAACCGGGTATCCGCAGGCATCTGGCGTTGCTGTGGCAACAGAAGAGGACAAGGGGGGGGGGAAGCACGGGAAATACTGCGGCAGTTCAGAACCACAGCAAAACTAACCCAGAGCCCGCTACTTTGAAAAGAGTAGATGACCCTTATTCCCAACTGGCAGGTTTCTGTTTCCTTGGCGTCACCCTCTGCCTCTCTAGAGATTGTGTGCAAACTATTCAGAGGGTATGTTTACATGAGTGAGGTTTTAAAAATATTTTTCTGACTGGTCTATCGTTTCCCTGTGGCAATTCTCCAGTGAAGGCAATTTAGCCGGAATTTCTGCAATGGCTCTGAAAAGGACTAAAATGCATGGCGCCAATAGTTCTGGGATTTGAAGTGACATCTTTAGGCAACCAGTGGCATAAAAGTTGCCTTCCTAGCCAGGAAGGTAAATTAAGGCTTCCGTAATGGGGTTTCAAAAAGTCCAACCGCAGTTTTGTTATGAATTCCCCACATCTGCTGCAGTGAAAGTGAATCAACTATCCTGCTTGGTGCTCTGTTCCTTATGGCAGAGATCCTCTCACCGTTCGTAAGTCTGGAATAATCCAACAAATTCATGGCTGGATAGAGAATTGATTGTGATTGTGAAACCCCTGGAAAGTGCCACTGGTCAGTATGTAGAGTGAAGATACTCTATGGATGTTGAGGAATGGATTTATACAACGCTAGTGAGACCACAGTTGGGATCTATATATATAAAAGTGAAATATCACTCATGCATCATCACAAAATCCCCAGAACCATAAAGCCTGCAAACTTGGGATTTGGCACATATATTCCTCTTGGCTTCTAGGTGCTCACTAAGAAAGGATTTTTCAAAATGACCATCAGAGCATTAGTATTTTATATATTATTATTAACATCCTCTGATGCTAAGAAGTTCTGTGGCCTCTCCCCTCCTAAAAAGAAATCTGTTCCAAATGCAAAATACAAGCAGAGGAGAGCAGTTTCAGTTTTAGTTTCACAGCAGTAACCAGCTTCAATACAGGGCAGTTGAGCTAAGCCACGCCCAGGCTCCTTGTTGTCTCCTTCTTGCTCACACAGCAAATACTGCTTCAGTTTCCAAACAGCCTTCAACTCTCTCACACACTGACAGGATGCTAGCCAGATGAATACCAACGGATGCTAGTAGACAGAGGCAAAATTTTATTCCCCTTATTTTCTTCCCCCAAAACTAAGCCCAATCACACAATTTCATTGCGAAGCACGGGTATAGAGCTAGTATTATACATAGTTTTGGTCACTATGATACCAAACATATGCTGAGACCCTAGAAAGACTGCAAAGAAGAGCAGTAAAGATGATAAAGAGTCTGGAGGCTAAATCACACAAGGAACAGTTAAAGGAACTAGGTATGTCGAATAACTCTAGTCAAACAAAGAGAAGGATTAGCGGGGATATGATAGTTGTTTTCCAGTACTCGAGGGGCTGTCATAGAGAAGAGGGGATCAACTTACTCTCCAAAGCTCCAGAAGGCAAGGCAAGAAGCAATGTTTGAAAACTTATTAAAGAGAGATCCAACATAGAAGGAAGAAGAAATTTCCTCACAGTGAGAACAATTACTCAATAGAAGGGCTTACCTCTGGTAGTTGTGGAAGATCTATCACTGGAGGGTTTCAAAACAACCATTTGACCTGGATGGTATAAGGCAAGAGTCTTCAAACTCGGCAATTTTAAGATGTATGGACTTCAATTCCCAGAATTCCTGAGCTAATATGACTGGAGGAGGAATTCTGGGAGTTGAAGTCCACACATCTTAAAGCTGTCAAGTTTGAAGACCCCTGGTATAAGGTTTCCTGCCTAGAACAGGGGTTAGATTAGAAGACCTCTAGGTTCCTTCCAGCCCTATGATTCTATGTTCTAATCCCCCTCCCTAGACCTATTCCAGGGTGGGGGTCTTAATCATTCACACTGTAACAGACTATGCAATTTTTGTTTTGGCCTATGAAGAGGCCTCCTCCTCCTCCTCCTCCTCCTCCAGGGCAGAGCTGAAGAAAATCCAGGTAGCCCTCAACATACGACCACAGTTGGGAACAAAATTTCCATTGCTAAGCAAGGCAATTGTTAAATGAGTTGTGCCTCATTTTACAACCTTTTTTGCCACACTTGTTCAGTAAATCCAGCTTCCCCACTGCCCACCCCCGTTGGTTTTGCTTGTTGAAAGCTTATAAATGGTGATCTTGTGATCCCTGCAGCTGGAATTGTTGTAACTATATACCTTTTCCCAACACCTGAATTTTGATCACATGACACTGGACATGCTGCAGGGGTCGTAAGTGTGAGGAATGGTTGTCATTTTTCCAATGCCACTGTAACTTTGAACAGTCACTAAACATATGGTTGTAAGTCAAGGATTACCTGTAATAGGTCAGCCATCAGGCCCCACCACATGCAGACACCAACTTTTCCCTCTCCTTCCCTCCTTCCCTCTCTCTTCCCCTCCCTCTCTCTCTCCCTCTCCCTCTCTCTCCCTCCCTCCCTCTCCCTCTTTCTATCTTCCTCCTTCCCACTCTCTCTCTCTCTCTCTCACACACACACACACACACACACACTTTTTTTTCTTGCTCAATCTTTTTTCCCTGTCTTATTCTTCTCTTTTCCTTCCTAAATTGCAGATTGTCTTAGTGAAAAAAAAAATGAACCTTTCTCCCCAAAAAAAGGCTGCCTGTGGAGAAAAGACAAAGCTACCCTTCAGTGGAAACCTGAGCCAATCCCTTGCGGAAGGATTTTAATAAATAAACCCTGCCACCCTCCCCTTTAATCAGCAAGTAATTTCAAGGAAAGGATCGAGCTGATTTTACCGCTTACAACACTTACAGCTGAATAGAAATTAACTCGGAGTTTCACATGCATAGACTGGAGTGGGAACACAAACATCTACTTTCGAGCGGGAATTTTATAATTTTGAGAAGGGTGGATCACTTTATACAGACCTCTGAATATGTGTAGATGCTGAAAGAATGACAAAGGATAACCCAAAGGTGCTTTTTCTGGAGGCAACTGGACTTTCTTGTTTTTATATTGAAGACATTTTGCTTCTCATCCAAGAAACTTCTTCAGTTCTGGTAGAAGAGTGGGGAATGGAAGGATTTAAATTCCTTGCAGACAGCTGGTCCTTCGCATGCTTTTAGAGGGTTGTTGAAGCAAAAGGATGTAAATGACCAGTTGTCTGCAAGGAATATAAATCCTTCCATTCCCCACTATCCTGTCAGAACTGAGGAAGCCTCTTGGATGAGAAGTGAAATGTCTTCAAAGAAAAAACAAAGAAATTCCAGTTGCTTCTTGAAAAAACACCTTTGGGGCAACCATGACCTGGATGACTGAGAATCTCTACAGACTTTTAGGAAGGATAAATAGACTAGAATTAATGCCCGTGTTTTATTTTCTTCCAGGGACTGAAGCCAATGGATTTTAATGGCTTGGCTGACCCTTATGTCAAACTACATCTCCTTCCAGGTGCTTGTAAGGTAAGCCCTGAGGCAGGGGGGGGTCTGCCGGAACGGAGTCATAGCAGGGTAAGGTGGTGGCCTTCCATTCATATCCAGCATGACATAAAAGAGTCAACAATTTTATTTCTTTTTACTCTTGTGTAGATATCTTTGGCAAGCACAATCTCAAATTTATATCTCAGTTATTGTGTCTCAATTCTGGTCTCACATAAACACAAAACCATACGTGACTGAGTATATAATATCAAGGTCCCTTCAATACGAGCTTGACTCCTTAAACATGCATTACACATTGGTTTTGGGGGGAACAATATGGAAGCGGCCTTGTCCTTCTCTTGGGATGCTTGACCAACTTCCCAGATGCTGCAGGCTTCTTGGAGCCTGAAAGTGTGGAAGATGGTTCGGTCTCGTGGAGAAGGCATCAGGCTAGAAACCAGGGGATAGGGAAATCTAGTTCCACTTTAGACATGAAAGCCGCCTGGGTGACTTTGGGCCAATCATGAGGATTCTGTGAATTCTAGTCCTGCCTTAGGCACAAAATCCATCTGGTTGATTTTGGGCCAATTACCACGAGGCTGTGAGTTCTAGTCCGGCCTTAGGCATGAAAGGTGCCTGAGAAAATCACCAGGTTTAGTTTTTAGTGCCACCTTAAGCATGAAAGCCAGCTGACATCAGGCTAGATGGCTGAATGACTTTGAGCCAATTACTCTATCCCAGCCAAGCTAATCTCACAGGATTGTTGTCCTGGGGAATAGAGGAGCAGGAAGGAGTATTAGGTATGCTCGCCTCCTTGAGTTATTGATAAAAATAATAAAGGCCGGATATAAATAAATAAATCTCTCAAAATTACCACAGCAGCACATTTGCCCATTCTTCCTACCGTCAAAAAAAAAGTCACCCAACTTTAGAACTCTTAAGAAGATCTTGATTTAGTGCACTTAGAAATTAAATGGGAACTGAAGAGAAAGCCTCCAGTGGTCAACATTTCTGTAATCCAATGTTTCTCAATCTTTACAATTTGAAGAGGTATATGGACTTCAACTTCCCAAATTCCCCAGCCAGCTTTACTGACTGGAAAATTGTGGAAGTTGAAATACATAGCTTTTCAAGTTGTTAAAGCTAAAAAACACTGTTGTAATATAATTCCCTTTTCAATAAATCTAATTAAAGACTTCACAAAAGTCTTCTCTGTTGCTAGGATTTTGACCTTAGACAGTTTAGAGCTCAGCCAGAGGGCCAGAAAAGCCAAAATGGCAGCAGTAACCATTCAGCTGAAGCTGCATGCCTTCTTTAGATATGTCACAGACATTTTAAAAAGGCAGAACATCAGTTACAAGGCAGTAATTTGAGATCATCTCACCATCTCCATCTGACCTGAACTCATCCTGCTTAAGTTTTCAAAACCAGTTAAAGTGTAATGGATACAGCCATCTAGCAGTGTGTGTGTGTGTATATGTATGAGTGACATAGGCATAGAAACTGGTGAGAATAAAATTTATCTCTCACATTAAACATTCTGAACAAGAAATAAAATTTGCTGTGTATACCTGTTGATAAGCCTATCTGCAGATAAGCTGATCCTTGAATTTTTAACCAAAACACCGGGAAAAAAATGTGCCACCTGTGGATAAACTGATGCTCAAAATATTTATATGTATTACTTTTCACAATTGGCTTATCCATGGATAATCCACAGATTATCCATTTCTCAGGGTATTTTGATTAAAATTTCAAGGGTCATCTTATCTGTGGATGGGCTTATCCATGAGCATATTTACTTATTTATCAAATTCATACAGCTGCCCGTCTCACGAAATGTGATCCTGGGCGGCAGTGTACAATTAGTATAGTTTAGTTTACTTTATTGTCATTGCACTTCGTACAACGAAATCAAATACCATCTTCAATGCACATCATGACCATGAAAATAAACATAAACACACATCCTTCACACTCCACATATTGAATTGAAAACCCCTGACACCACACCAACACTGCACTATACAGTAGAATTCAACAGAGCTACTGCCTTGGGACAGAAGCTGTATTTCTATCAATTTTCTGCAAATTATTAAATGAAAACAATATGTAGATAAAAACAAGCATTTAAAAATATGAAATTCAACATTAAGAAAATATATTTATTAATCAAATTTATATGTTCCCATCTCAAGAAAAATATATATACAAGATATATGCATACTTTTGTCGTGTACTATATATGGAATACAGAAGTACACTTTATATATAGGATGTACAGATACTTTTAAAAAGTATATGTGAAAAGATAAAATTACTGTAAAAAAGTTAGACTCCCATCCATGGATAAATCAATTTTGGGGGTGCATTTTGGCACCTAAAATCTTCAGCTTATTCCTAGTGTACAGGTAGTCCTTGATTTATGACCGTAATTGAACCCAAAATTTCCATCACTAAGCGAAACATTCATAGTGAGTTTAGCCCCTTTTTCTTGCCACAATTGTTAAGTGAATCACTGCCATTGTTAAGTTAGTAGCCTAATGAGGCTATTGCCTGGATCCTGAGTGATGGTAACAAGGCCCCAGAGGAAGAAAACTGCAGGCCATCTCCCTTTAAGCTGGTCTGCTGCTTCCTGGGGCACAGTTAGTCATCTACTTATGACTACAACTTAGCTCAAAATTTCCATTGCTAAGCAAGACAGATGTTAAGTGAGTTTTGCCCATTGTATGACCTTTCTTGTTAAGTGAATCACTGCAATGGTCAAGTTAGTAAACATGGCTATTAAGTGAATTTGAATTCTTCATTTGACTTTCCTTGTCAGAAGGTTGCAACAGGTGTGATCACATGACCCCAGGACACTGCAACGGTCATGAGTTAGTTACCAAGAGTCTGAATTTTGGTCATGTGATCCTGGGGATGCCGCAATGGTCGTAAGTGTGAAAAATTGTTATGTCATTTTTTTTCAATGTTGTTCTAACTTTGAACTAAGCAAATCACTATAACTCGAGGACTATCTGTATGCAGTATTTCATATTAATGCTCTCATCATATTCTATTCTTGTACAGGAATTAATCTTTGGGCAGGCCTATTAATTTAATTGCTGCTAAGAATAACAGCGGCAATACTACTCATCAGCAGCAGGATCCTACCTATTCCACTACTGGTTCGGTGATTGTGTGCACACCCAACGCGCACGCACTTAACGCACATGCACCTAACGCACACGCGCAGCTTTCCACACCAGCTGAGGCCTGCAGTGCCAATCAACCGAGAGGATAAAGAAGAGAAAAGCGCAGGGGCCGGTGAGAGGACCAATCCTGTGCTTTTCTCTTCTTTGGAGGCTTTTTTTGCCTCCTCTCAGCTGATGGTTGGAGGCTTTTTTTTTACTACCCGTTTGGCCGAACTGGGCCAAACTGGTAGCATACCACCACTGCCACTCATAGATTATGAAAAACGCCTTTTCTTCAAACTATCCTTTCACTGTGCGTGAGGAGAGCACTGAGGACCATATCCTCCATGTGGCGAAAAAGCTCATCCCCCGCACATTCTCCACAGCATTCTCCTGGGAATTCCCCCTGATGCTGAAGTTAGCGCACACAAATTTTGCATAACTTATTAGATAATAAGAGGGTTTTAAACCAGCTGTAATTGGATGTTTGGAATAAGAAACCGCTGATTGCCGAAATTACATTATCTCAGGGCCAAAAAAGATGTGACAAGGGAATATGTGACCAAATCTTCCAAATTAATATTTATGATTATTTATGTATGCTCAAAAAATAGCAGCATAGGCCTGATGGTAGGAAGCAGCTGGGAGGACCAGGTGCTATAAGTTTTTTCCTGTGTTGTTTTCACAGTCTAAATCCACCCACTTATCTTGAAGCAATTATTAGCCAAGCTGGGGGAAATGGAGAAATGGTTTAGGTATTTCTGATCTTCTTTCCTCCATGAGGGTAGCACCAGCTTTGGGATAGACATCTCGTGTGTAGTTTTCTTTTACTGGTTGGCCAAATGAAATTAACACTTTTCTGTAAAATCAAAACCACAATGCAATCCATATCACATCCTGATCAAAACTAGAGCCTCAGGAGTTTTACCCATGCTAAGGGCAGAAGGGGCAACAGATAACTGATTAGAGAAGAGAAAGAGACTCAGGAGTTATGAATCCCTACTAGCTGTATGAGAAAAAAGAGGAAGAGCCGGGGGGAGTAGTCAAGAGAGCATTCAGCCCAGAATCTTTATATGTTCACAAATGCTGCAAATCCAGCCCTGTATCTAGTGCCAATTTAGTGCTGACCCCTGGTGGCTAGATTCTCGTGAATAGGTTTGAGCGGTAAATCAGCTTAACTGGAAGTTAACCTTCTGATTCTTTGCACCGGACAATATCATGTGCACAGGGGGGAGCAAGAAAAGGAAAAACAACAACAAAAGCAGCCTTTTACCAATGCAGCATAAGCATCTCTTCAAAACAGGAGTCCTGGTGTGGCATGCGTGTAGGTGCAGAGCTTGAATTACAACTGTGCGAGGTTACTTTAGCCTTTTGAATGAAAGCAACAGTTCTGCAGACACTCTGATTCCCCAGTAACAGGATTCAAATCGTTTAGAGCAAGGGTGTCAAACTCAAGGCCTGCGGGCCGGATCCAGCCTGTGAGGTGTTTAGATCTGGCCCCTGGGGCTGCCCTCAAAACAGCAAAGGACTGGTCTGCCACAGCCCTCCCGTACTCCATTTTCACTGGCAGAGGGTTGCAGGAAGTTGTCACAGGCCAAAATAGAGCTCGGGAGCCCGTTTTCGCTGATAGAGAGCTCAGGCCACCACAGGTGCCCCTGACAGGAGTGACGTCGAGCTGGACACACCCACCATGGCTACACCCACCATGGCCACACCCACCCCAGTCTCCCAAGTTCAAACACAACCTTGATGCAGCCCTCAATGAAATCGAGTTTGACGCCCTTGGTTTAGAGCAGAGATGGGGAAAGGTGGCCCTTTAGACTTCAACTCCCAAAATTCCTGGGCCAGCCATGTGGACTTCAATTCCCA